GATGTAGAGCTCTGTCAGTTAAACCCGCCTTCGTAGAGCGCAGTAGGGAAAACGCTGCAGTCTGTCCACGCTGACAGCTTCAAGCGCACTGGCATGGCCACATTTGCGGCACTTGCAGCCGCATTGGGAGTGGTGCATTATGGGCAGCTATCCCAGATGCAAGTGACTGCAACGTGCTTTTCAAATCGGGGGGTGGGGGGGAGTGTGACAGGGAATGTGTTGTGGGTATGTGGGGGGAGAGAGAGTGGGGTTTTGGGGTGCTGAGTGTTTCAGCATGCTGTCTTGTAAGTTCAGACCCTCCCTCCCCCCCGCCTCTCTCTCACTCACTCAAAGCAAACAGTAAATGTTTGCTTTTTCTCGGAGCTGATAAGCAGCCGGCTTCTCCGAAACGGAGCTTTGAAAGGGCATTTCCGCATTCCTGTAGCCGATTTCACAACAATGACGAGAGTGGCCACTTGACTTAAGGGGATTATGGGACATTTCCAGAGGCTGATCACAGTGCAGTAACACAACACCTCGTTCACACTGGCGCCGTGGCGCTCCAGCAGGGGCACAGCAAACGTTATTCCACTCACTGAGGTGGAATACCAGAAGCGCTGTAGCCGTGGAGTCAGAGCACTCTGCGTGCCTTGCCAGTGTGGACGGGGAGTGAGCTAGGGCACCCTGGGCTGTTTTAGTGCGCTGTAAGTCGCAAGTGTAGCCAAGGCCAGACTTGCTGTCGCCTGAACCGCAGTTGGAAATGATTCTCGAAGAAGAATAATGCTATAAGAAGGGAGAACAGAGGACACAAATCACCTCTCTCTCCTCACGGCATCAATAACGTTTGAAAGACAAAGGAAGCATCATTGAACTGGTGGAGTGGCCCTGACTGAAGGAGTTGAGCCAGTAAAACCATGGTGGTAAGAAAATCTTTGCTTTGAATTCATTTAGCTTGCTAAGTTAGCTATTAGTTTGCATTTTACCTTTTATTTCTTTGTAAACAATTCTGACTTTTATGCCTCATTACTAGTAATCATTTAAAATCTATCTTTCTGTAGTTAATAAACGTGTTTTATTATTTACCTGAGCCAGTGAGTTTGGACTGAAATGTTTGGAACCCTCCATTTGAGATAACAAGATTTCTGCATATCATTTTCTATAAATGAAATGATGGACTTGCTGGGAGCTTGTACTGCACAGAAGGAAAGAGCTGGGCAGTGCAAGATGCACATTTCTGGGGACAAGTCCGGGACTGAGAATTTGCTGGCTTTGCTCTGAAATATAATTCAGGAGTGGCTGGCTAGAAGCACTCATATATTCAGCTAGGAGTGATTTTGCATGTTGGAGGTTGTGTGAGAGCAGACCAGGAGTGGTTGTTCTCACAGTAAAGCAGTGTAAAAGGCACCCCAGGTTGGAGAGTTGAGGGGACACAGGTGTCCATCAGTCCAGATTGTACCCTGGGGAATGTCACAGTGACATGATCAGATTGATGGTCATAGAAGATGTCTTTGGCTGCATTTCATTTGGATTTAAGAGGAAGAAAGCATTAATTTGGAGTCCAGAGAGGAGGATGAAATAGTAAAGGGAGAGATACATGGGGCTGAATATGAGAGTTGGCTGTAGAGATAAAAAGGATGGATCTTGGCAACAATGAGGAGGTAGAATCAACAGTTTGGATATGGCCAGGATATGTTGGGCAAAAAATCAAAATAACTTTGAGATTGGAAACCTTAGGTAGAATTGACAGTGATTAAGAAGGAGAGGAGTGGAGAGAGTTTGGGAGGGAAGAGCAGTTCTGTCTTGGCCATCTGCAATTTAAGATAACAAGAAAACCAAAAGGAGATGTTGGGAGAAAAGCAGAGATTTGTAGGATTAGCTGGAAGAGACAGGTCAGTGGTAGAGGAATAGCTTTGCAAGTCATCTGCATAGAAATGATAGCTGAAGCCTTGTGAGCTGATGATCACCCAGTGGAAAGTGCGAAAAGCAAAGAAAGGGCCAAGGACAGAGCCCTCGGAGTGAGGGGGGTGAGGAGGATCCACCAAAAGAGAGAGAGGAGGAAAAACCAGGAGGAGACAATGGGTAAAACTTTCAAAAGCACCTAGGTCACATTTTTAAAAAGCCTGAGGCACTTAGGAGCAAGAGTCCCATTGCTTTCAATAAGTTTTAGACTCCTTAAGTACTCAGTTTCTTTTGAAAACAGGACTTAGGCTCAGAAGTTGCTTAGGTGCTTCTGAAAAATTTACCCAGTGTCTCAAAACCCCAGCAAGGGTATGATGTCAAGATGGATCTACTGTGTTAAAAGCAGCAAAGAGGCTGAGGATGGAGTAAAAGGCCCTGAGATTTGGCTAGGAAATAGTCATGGGAGCTGCTTCAGTAGAGTGGAGAGGTCAGAAGCCAGATTGCAGGGGATCCAAGGTGGTGCTTAGGGAGTGAATGCTTTGATTTTACACTGCACATTCAAAGCTTAGAGGTAAAGGGGAGGGGGAGGTAGGTATCCAGAGAGGCATATCAGAGTGAGGGATAGCTTTTTGAGGTTAGGGAAAAGCAGGACAGACTTATACTGTGAGGGTCAGGGATGGGGTGAGCCTGGGGGCAGTGGAAGTATTTGTCCAGTTCTGGCATCAGCATTTCAGAAAGGATATTGCAAAATTGGGAAGGGTTCAGAAAAGAGCCATAAGAAGATTTATGGTCTGAACACCAGCCTTACAATGAGAGACTAAAGCTCAGTTTATTCGGTTTATCAAAGGGAAGGCTAACAATGGTTTAACCATGGGCTAGAAGTACTTACTTGGGGAGCAGATTTCTGATGAGAGGGCTGTTTAGCAGACAAAGACATAACAATATCCCATGGCTGGAAGCTGAAGCTAGATACAACTCTACCCCGATATAATGCTGTCCTCGGGAGCCAAAAAAATCTTACCGCATTATAGGTGAAACCGCATTATATAGAACTTGCTTTGACCCACCGGAGCGGGCAGTCCCGCCCCCCCGGAGCGCTGCTTTACCGCGTTATATCCGAATTCGTGTTATATCGGGTCGCATTATATCGGGGTACAGGTGTAGTATCAAACTAAACATAAGGTTCACATTTTTGTCAGTGAGGGTAACTAACCATTGGAACAACTTACCTAGAGATGCAGTGGATTCTCCATCACTTTAGATCTTTATATCAAAATTGGGTGTCTTTCTAAAAGATCTGCTCTAGCTCAGCCAGAAGTTTTTGCTTGATGTAGCAATCACTGGTTGAAATTCTATGGCTTGTGTTCTGCAGGAATTCAGACAAGATGATTATAATGATCCCTCTGTCCTTTAACACTTATTTTAAACAAAAAAGTACGGAGAGGAAAAGATATAGGATCACTGGGGCAGGTGGAGAGGTTAGGGTTGGAGAGAAGGCAAGAGACTACTGGGGCTGTGATGGAGAAGGAGGTGAAAGTGTTAGGAAGGGGGAAGGGCAACTTGTCCGGGCTCCCATTTGCAAAGGCTCCCAAGACAAGTGGTGGTGCGACTTGGCACACAGGGTTGCAGCGCCTCTCAGGTCTGGCTCGGTGGCCCTTCAGTCACAATGGAGGGGCAGCTGGGCTAAACCTGAATGATGCCATGACCCCACTTGCTGGGAGTAGGGACCTGAGCCCAGTCTTGCAGGACAGGAGCCAAGCTACTGCTGCAGGTTGAGTGTGTTGCAGACTCAATCTTCAACACCTCCACCCACCCCCCAAGACCCCTCCCCTCAATGGTCATTTTTTGGAAGGATAGGGGACTTCAGTTTCAGATTTTGTCCTGGGCCCCCAAAAACTTCTGCAACCTTGGCTGGTGCAGGACAAAATGAGGGGTGATCCCTGTGGACTGAATTTTCTTTTTGAAGAAGTATGCAAGTTCTTGTCACACAGGGCATGAGAGGAGGAAATTTGATTTGATTGACCCATTTGATATAACCGCTTATGTCAGTGAGCATGTGACTTTTGTGGGGTTGTTACTGTCTTGAAGTTATGAATAAATTGATGCTTTAGTTGTATGGCTAATTTATTACACCCACTATACCAGCGTTTATCAAACGGGGGGTGCCGACCTGAAAGGGGGTCACAAAACTGTTGTAGGATGGTTGCGAGAGTAGCGGCTGCTGGCTGGGCAGCCAGCTCTGAAGGCAGCACCACTGCCAGCAGCAGTGCAGAAGTTGGGATGGGATGGTATTGCTTCTGTGCAGCTGCCAGCAGAAGTATGGGGTGGCATGGTAGGGAAAAAAGATTGGAGAACACCTGTACTATACCCTTAGTGCTTTGAGAAGTTGGGGTCAAAAAATGTTTGTTTTTAATTTTTAACACATTAATCATTTTTGAAGAACATGAAAACATAGTGTAAAACAAATGTGTGCAGAGCCACCAGCCACTTCTACCTTATAGCCGTGGTCCTCTTCCTCCTACCCTGTTCCCTTTTGTTGTTGTCTTCTCTCATAACATCAAGACAGTTTATAGACTGTAAACTTCTGACCTGGGACTGTCTTATTTGTTTATCAAGCACCTCACACATTTTGGGCCCAATGTGCATAATAATCGGGCTTTTGAATGAGTAGACGGGTCAGAGGTTGGGACAATAGCTATGAAAAGGATTGGGAAACCTTAAACAATGTTTTTACCCCTAAATTGCTGTCTGAGAGGCATCTTCATCATACCACCTTGACCAAGTTGTTGGCCTCCCATGATTTTTAAGAGGGGGGGATTGACTCTTGGAATTGGGGCAAAGCAGGGGTAATGCGAGTCCTTTGTGATGGATGAAGCAGGGGAAGAAGCCAAGAAGGAGGAGCTCATGTCCCTGAATATCTGCAACTGGAGCTTCAGCCCTTTTCATGAGCTCAATAAGCGGGTGTACGTGGAATATTTTTTCATTTTTGAGTTTATGTACAACTATAGTGAACTGAACTTTGAAATAAAGCCTGTAAACTGAATAAAGTTATATTTGGTTCATGAATTTTGGATTATGTATAGGACAGAGGGAGACTCATGCGCTACATTTTTCCTCCTCAGCTCTGTAGCGTTGTGTAAACTCCTCCAGTATGGTATCAACAGTGATGACAAGCGCCTGCAGGACATTAGGGTGAAGGGTGAAGAAATATTCAATATGGATGAGGGAATACGCACAAGATCCAAATCAGCCAAAAGTAAGTAATCAAATTGCTCTAACAGGGTTGGGTCTATAAATATTACCTTGTGGCACACTTGGAAAGCCTCTAAAAGATTTTCTAGGTCTCCTGCAGTTTTGTTGGGTATGTTGCTGTATAGAAAACAGACATTTTTTTATTGGAACTTGCCCAAAGTTAGCAAGATTAATATACCTATTAATTGCTTACCAAATTCTTGTTTGGGTTTGGGAACATTGTTCTTACACTTCTAATTTAAGATTAGGGGCAATTAGAAGGCTCATGAGGTATGGAGCCCTTCACTGCTATGTCACTAGATCAAATTCATTCCTAGCTGAAGGACCTAAAATTGATACCGTCGGGGTGCTTGGTAACCTCTGTGAAATGAGCTTTCAGTGGACAATATTGGTAATCACAGTAGAGGAAATGAAGGACTGACTTGCCCAATGAGACTGAAGTTACCACCACTAGGTGGTAGAGGATACTTTACATCAGGGGCATGGCTCATGGGAGTGGGGGGGGCAGTTTAGTAGAAACTTGCACTATGGTCATGCTCTCCCTAAAGGACTTCAGTCTCTAGTGTGTTCAGCCCACCATCTTTAATCAGCATTACATTTCATTTAAAATAAGTGTTTCTCCTGATAGGTTGGGAACCCACTGGCCTAGACTATTTACCATTGTGGGCTGCATGTGCAGCTCTCTGTGTTGTGTGGGCTGCATCCACACAGTATATATACTACCTCTGCGGCCCTGAGGATGTCACATGGGCTGCAGCTGTGTGCTAATTGGGCCCTGCGGGCTAAGAACCACTGGTCTAGGCTTTTTGGTGTGTTTCCTTTGTAGAGATCTGTAGTAGTAATTGTATTGTGATAGGCCCTAGTGGCCCCTGCACTCAGTTGGGGGAGGGCACTACACACCCATGAAAAAATGTTCTCTGCCCTGCAGAGCTCTCTAGCTAAGACTTCAGTCCTGCACCTTATTGTTCTGGGCCCAAGGATCTGCTCACAGGTGACAGGATTGAGATCTTAGAAAGTAATAGGTGGAGTGCATTGGGGAATACAGGATGTAGGCAGCAGTTGCAACACACTTGCTGTCTCGTCACTGAAAAAAGATACAGGAACTTTGTCTGGATAAACACTTTATCACAGAGAATAACTGCCACCACTTCTTTGTTTCACAAGATCTTAGTTTCTTTGAGAGGAAATGAGATACTAGTTTACCATCTCTGTGTAACATACATTTACTCAGTCTCACTAGGGTTGTCACTCTGAAATGTCTCATCTGGGGCACTAAAACTTAATATTTAACTCCAAGTGTACTCGTTTTATTGAGAAGTTTTATTGTACCTTCTCCCCTCACTCAAAGGCACTCCCCCTCTGTCTGCCAGTCACTTTGCTAGCCCCACAGTATAACTCTGATTGAGACATTGGGCAACAGGCATTAACATCGGTGCATAATAAATAAATAGCATTGGATTGAGATGACAATAGAGCTGGCTTCAGCTACAGGAAAGGAAAGGAATTGTGTGACGAACTGGGACTGTTCTTAATGTGGTCTTTGAATGCTGAGTGGGGAGTGTGGTTAGGACGGTCTGCATTGGGGGATGGGAGACTGGCCTTGAGGGAAGATACCTGAGCATGTAACGTGAGAACCCAGGAGGGGGCTGGGGCCAGGTGACACCTCTGCCCGGGAAACTGAACAAAGGCTGGGGGAGGAGCCGGGGGAGGCTGGGGGAGAGATGCTGGAGGGAGTGGAGGTTTTCAGGAGCTGGCTGGTAATGGAGGGAGCACAGACGGGGCTCTGCCCCCCCCCCCGATGGGGCTGTGGTGCCCCTGGGACCCCAAGATGGACCTAACTGAGGGAGGGGTCCTGTTGTCTGTGCCTGCAAGACCTGTCTTGGACTGTGTTCCTGTCATCTAAATAAACCTTCTGCTTTACTGGCTGGCTGAGAGTCATGGTGAATCGCAGGAAGCCGGGGGTGCAGAGCCTTGTATCCCCTCACACTCCGTGACAACTGGTGGTAACAGTGGGATCTACTGCACCCCATGGACGGCGCTTCCTGCAGTAAGTGACTGGGGAGCAGTAACACGAAGGGTGATTGACGGGGTCCAGGCGTGCTGAAGAGTCAGAGAGAGACGGTTTCAGGGGGCGATTCACCCCTAGGCGTGTGTAACCAGAGAGAAGGACTTTTGCAGTAACAGGGTCCCCCGGGGGATCGCAGCGAGCGGTCCCAGGGGCGGAGGAGTCTGCAGCTCGACCCTGGCAGAGAGGTGGTGACCTTGAGAAGGGCTGGCACACTAGGGGTCTCCCTGGAAACTGTGGGGAGCGGTTAGCACCTAGGCCTGTGAGTGGCCAGCAGGAAGATGTATGCCAAGCGGCTTAAGAGCGACCTGGTGGAGCTGTGCAAGTGGAGGGGGCTGCGCGGTGGGAGGCTCACCAAAGAACAGTTCATTGCCCAGGTAGAGGAAGGATATCGCTTGAAGGAACTGATCCCTGTCTCTGAGGGAAGCAGCCTGGCAGATGCAGCGCAGGCACCAGTGTCTGTCCCAGCTGGGAGTGGTCAGCCGGCTGCTGAGGGCTTCCCGAGACCCCTCCTTCCTATGCCTAGAGGAAGGGTGGGGAGGAGTCCAGCAAATACCGAGGGCACCGTGACCCTCCCGGCCAGCAGGGGATCCTCCCGGCGACGCTCGGCGTCCGTGGAGCAGAAGCGGCTGGAATGGGAGAAAGAGCTAAAACTGAGAGAGCTGGCAGATCATGAACAACAGAGACAGCATGAACGGGAGGAAAAAGAGAAACAGAGTCAGCATGAAGAGAGACAGCATCAGCATGAACTGGAGCTGGCGAGGCTGAGGGGCGGCGAGCCCCCGGCTGCGGTGAGTGAGGGGGGGACCCAGGACTGCACGGAGCTTTGATAGGTGCATCCTGGCCCAACGTAAGGAGTGGGAGGACATGGATGACTTCCTGGATGCCTTTGAGATGGCCTGCGAGCTGCACCAGGTTGATCCTGTGGACAGACTCCGGGTTCTCGTCCCCTTACTGGACCCCAAAGCCGTGGCATTGTACCACCAACTGGAAGAGGCGGAGAAAGGGGACTACGAACTATTCAAAAAGGCCCTGCTTACGTGAGTTTGGGCTGACTCCTGAGATGTACCGGGAAAGGTTCCGGAGTCAGGATAAAACCCCTGAGATCTCATATCTGCAACTAGCCGTCTGCATGGAGGGATACGCCAGCAAGTGGGCAGATGGGGCCTAGACGAAGGAGGACCTGGTTAAACTGCTGGTACTGGAGCAGCTGTATGAGCAGTGCCCATCCGACCTGAGGCTGTGGTTGAGGGGCAAAAAGCCAGAGAACCTGCGACACGCAGGGCAGCTGGCCGATGAGTTTGTGAAGAGCCGGTCAGGGGGTGGCAGGGAGGAGTCCCAAAGTAATAGGCCCACCGCGATGCAGAGAGAGAGTCACCCTGGGACCTCCCAAAGGGGGAATATGGAGAACCCCCTCCCAAGGGGAACATCCGGCGTCATGGACAACCCACCGGTTCGAGGGGACCAGGGCACTGAAGTGACGCTGGCCCGGCCCGAGGTGGTAGCTCCAGATCAGGTGATGCCCAACACCTATCTAACCCTGACAGGGGTCGGCAAAACCCCATTCAAGGTGCCCGTGGCGAGGGTACACCTGAAGTGGGGGGCCAAAGAGGGCCCCAAAGAAGTGGGGGTGCACCACCATTTGCCCACTGAGGTGCTAATGTGGGGGGGACCTTGAGGACTGGCCAAGCAACTCCCAGGGTGCCCTGGTCGCGACCCATAGCCAGAGCCGGCGAAGGGCACTGCGCCCTGACAACGGGGAGGGTGCCATGCCCGAGGCGCAGGACCCTAACCTGGTGGGGAGGGAACGCCCAGGGACACAGCTCAGGGAGGCTGGGGCTTCAGGGACACAGCTCAGGGAGGCTGGGGCTTCAGACCCAGCTGGCGAAAGAGAGCAGGTGGCCATCCCTGTCCCAGCTGCTGAGTTCCAGGCCGAGGTGCAGAAAGATCCCTCCTTGCGGAAGATAAGGGACCTGGCCGACCTCAGTGTGGTACCGACCATGGGGAGAGGTGGCCGGCAAAGGTTCCTGTGGGAGAAGGGGTTCCTGTACCGAGATTGGGCTCCCCCAGGGAAAATGGAGTCAGGGGGGATCAAGAGGCAGCTGGTGGTACCCCGGAAGTATCGCCGCCAGCTGCTGTACCGGGCCCATGACATTCCCCTCTCAGGGCACCAGGGAACCTGGCGTACCCAACAGAGGCTGCTACGGCACTTTTACTGGCCTGGGGTCTTTATTACCGTCCGACAGTACTGCCGATCCTGTGACCCCTGTCAGAGGGTGAGGAAGGCCCGGGACAAGGGGAAAATGGCTTTAGGACCCTTGCCCATCATAGAGGAGCCTTTCCAGAGGGTGGCCAAGGTCAAAAGGGGTCAAAAGACCCCAGCCCAGTTTGAACCCCAGGGGTATTGGGGGCACGGGCCGCATAAGCCTTCCCACATGCGAACTACGAGTGTCATCGAGCACACCCGACCTAAGGGGGGGGGCATGAAACTGGAAGGGCCTGGTGTAATTCTCACCAAGGAATGGGAGGGATGTTGGGGCATCCATGGGAACGTGGGTAGGTTCGAACTTCCCCAGGTCACTGGCTGAAGTGACCCCGCTCAGTTCGGTCTCGAAGGGGGGAGAGATGTGAGAACTGGGACTGTTCTTAATGTGGTCTTTGAATGCTGAGTGGGGAGTGTGGCTAGGACGGTCTGCATTAGGGGATGGGAAACTGGCCTTGAGGGAAGATACCTGAGCATGTAACGTGAGAACCCAGGAGGGGCTGGGGCCAGGTGACACTGCTGCCCGGGAAACTGAACCAAGGCTGGGGGAGAGACGCTGGAGGGAGTGGAGGTTTTCAGGAGCTGGCTGGTAATGGAGGGAGCCCAGACGGGGCTCTGCCCCTCCCCCCCCAATGGTGCTGTGGTGCCCCTTGGACCCCGAGATGGACCTAACTGAGGTGGTCCTGTTGTCTGTGCCTGCAAGACCTGTCTTGGACTGTGTTCCTGTCATCTAAATAAACCTTCTGCTTTACTGGCTGACTGAGAGTCATGGTGAATCGCAGGAAGCCGGGGGTGCAGGGCCTTGTGTCCCCTCACACTCCGTGACAAATTGTTTGAACAGTTTTTTGTTTGGTAAAGTAACGTTGATTTTTGTAGTGTTTCTGCCCCTGTGTTTTAGTGAGATGGGTTACTGCTCCAGGGTGACTATGCTGTGCTATGTGTTGGCCAGGTACTCATTTGAATGACATGTGATGATGCCAGCTCCTGCTCCCATGGAAGTCCGTGGCAAAACCCTGATTGGTTTTAATAATGGTAGGATTAAGTCCCTAAATTAAAGATTGGGTTTGGGACCCAAATGCTGATCCTTAGCATCGTTCTAGACTGCCAGGCTAAAGCAATTTCTCAGCATTGCTATGTCTGAGTTACTGTCACATGTCACAAATGTTCATTAGACCCTGTTCTTTAAGTGGGGCCCTGACTCATTATTTGAAGCTTTCAATTTTATCCACTTTACAATCCAAGTCAGAAACTTTATTCCAATATTTAATCCAAATAGAACTCCCTTTTTTAATTATCTAACAATCAAACAGAACTCTTGAAAATCTGGTTATTACCTTTTCCCAGTTCTTTTTGATTTTTTGGGCCTGATACAGAATTAGTAAGTATTTTGGGTCCTTCCGCTATCTTTTTTTTTTTTTTTTTTTTTTTTTTTTGCCTTCAAGTTTTTGTTTCATGCATTAGTGTTGCATAACCATGAAGAGGAAGGTGGGCATGTAAGAATTGAATGTGCACAATCGTTAAATTTTGATGTAACTTTGGTCCTGCTCAGTTTGTTGTATTTAAGAGGTTTATTAATCTGAAACTAATGTCCTAAAGAGCATTCAGATGAAGCAATAGACTACACATTTATATTACCAGTAGCACCTGAGACCCCAACTGAGATTGGAGCCCAGTTGTGCAAACACATAAGAAGAGTCAGCACCTGCCTCAAATAGCTTACAATGTAAATAGATAATACAATATTACTTCCCCTACCGTACCCTTTATCTCCATTTTACAGATGGAGAACTGAGATGCATTTGTTCCATCATTAGTTAAAGTCTCTCTCTGGAGTGCAACTCTTCAGTATTTGCCCTTACACTTTTTACTGGTGTTAGGCAGTTAATGGAGTTGAAATTCAGATTTGATTGATACAAGATTTTGTCCTCCAGGTGCTTCATCAACTTCAGACAGAAAACAAGAATTTTCAAAAGCGTCTAGTGACTTTGGGTGCCTCAGTTTGTGGCTGCCCCACTGGAGATGTATTATAGGAGTCCGACGTTCAGAAGTGCTGACTGCTTGTCCCCTTAAGGTGTGTCAAGTTGGGTTCCCAAAATCACTAGTCTCTTTAGAAAATCTTAGCTTAATAAAATTTAGTCAGTAATTGTGATGACAATCAAACATTTTAATATTGGTGAAAGAGGACTGAAGTCCTCCTGTATTGTATTGTACAGGCAGCTGCAGTGCAAGCTTCTTACACGCTGCCCTGCCAGCGCAGCTCAGCCCTGACTTGATGTACCGCATTTAGAAGTAGGATATTGTTTTTGTCCTTATTTATGAAGAGGGGACTTGTAGGACATTCTACGTAGACTGTCAAGCAGTTTTCCAATAGTAATATAGATACTACTCCAATGCAGTATAATTCCAATAATAATCTTGTTTTAAGTTTTAGATTGTTAAGCTTTTGGAATACAGTAACTCCTCACTTAAAGTCGTCCCATTTAACATTGTTTCGTCGTTATGTTGCTGATCAATTAGAGAACATGCTTGTTTAAAGTTGCACAATGCTCCCTTATAACGTTGTTTGGCAGCCGCCTGCTTTGTCCACTGCTTGCAAAAAGAGTAGCCCATTGGAGCTAGCTGGTGGGGGCTTGGAACCAGGGTGGACCGGCAGCCCCCCTCTCAGCTTTCCACTCCCCTAAGTTCCCTGTGCGGCAGCTGCAAAGCAGGCTATCAATTGCTGGGCAGTTCAGCTGTCCTTCCCCCCCCGGCCACTGCCGTGTGCTGCTCCTGCCCTCTGCCTTGGAGCTGCTCCCAGAAACCTCCTGCTTACTGTGCAGGAGGGTGGGGGGAAGTGGTGGGCTAATGTCAGGGTGTCCCCCTCCCCCCCGGTCCTGCCCCCCATTCCTTTACCCCATCTCCACAGAGCAGGGGTAGGGGGGACACAACAGGGCTCAGAACCGAGGGAGCTTGCTGGCAGCAGCCGCTGTCTCAACTTGCTGATCTACTTAAAAAGGCAGTGTACTTAGAGTGGGGTCAACATACTCAGTGGGGGCGATGTGCGCCCCTCTCTCTCTCTCACAGACACACACAGTGCCATGCTGTCTCCACTTCCTCCATTTGTGCTGCCTTGTAGAGTGTGAGGCTACATTAACAACAACGTGTTAACTCTTGAAGGCTCAGCCCGAGTGTTAGTTCATCATTTAGCAGTAAGGCATTCCCTGGGAAATATCCCACCCTCTTCCAACCTCTGACTTCACCACCTCAACCAAGCTTCACAATCATCATTGCTGTGTACAGTATTAAATTGTTTGTTTAAAACTTATTGTGTGTGTGTGTGTGTGTGTGTATAAGTCTTTTGTCTGGCGAAAAAAATGTCCCTGGAACCTAAACCCACCCCACCCCCGTTTACATTAATTCTTATGGGGAAATTGGATTCACTTAACATCGTTTTGCTTAAAGTAGCATTTTTCAGGTTAACATAACTACAATGTTAAGCGAGGAGTTACTGTGGTTACTACTTTTGTTGTGTCTACAGTCCCTATTGCACAGGTGCCCTGATTCATGATTGGGGCCCCTAAGCATTACTGCAATACAAATAATTCATTACTTTGGTGATTTGACCTGGACTGGATTTGAACTAGTAATCTAGATCTGGAAGGCTCTGTATTCCATAACCTGGCTTCTGGGCCATAGTTCCCGCCGAGGAAATATTTACACTTTAAAATAAATGTTGAACACAGTTCTTGTGGCCTTTAAGAAACCTGTTTCAAGGACCGTTTGATATGTCTTTTGAATTCACAACCTGAGATGATATAAAAAGAGTGGACATATGAGCAACATGAGAACTGTGTTTGCCACCAGTAATGCCCATAGGGAAAGAAAAAAATGAAGTTGGAAAGGCTAATAGCTTTAACCTAGTTCTTCAATGTTTGGCCTCTCAGTCATTTAATGAACAATAATCATCTTTAGTTTTGTCCTGGACCCTTAAAGTCCCAGTGTGGTTGCTAATTGACTAGTTGAAGTTTCAGATTGTCCTTGCTTAACTAACATAATGTACTATTACACCTCAGTGTTTGCTTAGTTCAGAGGATTGACACTTGCCTTGTTTATATGTATGTCCAATGGTGCCAGAATATCTGCTCAATGGTAGTAGTTGAATGTAGCTCTCTGAGAAGAATATTTTCATGTAAAAGTATAGTTCTGTTCAGTGAACATTTCCAGCCTGTATTGAAACAGCATTGTTTTAGTGGCTTTAAAGATTCTTACTTAGTTTGTTAAAAGGCAAAGTTATCTATGTATTCCTTCCTCTGGTCTTACAGATCCCGAACGCTGGACAAACATTCCGTTGTTAATAAAAATCTTAAAATTAATAATAAATGAACTTTCTAATGCAATGGAAGCAAATGCATCTCGCCAGACAGCTGCAGACTGGAGTCAAGGTACGATACTGGGGTGGCTTTCTCCTTTCAGATGGTGAAGAATGAATGGAGTAGCTGAGCTGCTAGCAAAAATATGCAATCTCATTAAAATTAGCTACTCTACTATACTAGAGAATTGGAAGGTAGCAAATGTTGTACCTATATTTGAAAAAGAGCTCTAGGGCGATTCGTGAAATTACAGACCAGTCAGCTTCACACGTGTTCCCGGTAAATTGGTCAAAATGATAGCTTAAAATAGAATAACTGATCTGGAAGATTACAGAATGGTAGGGTCTAACCCACACAGTTTCTCCAAAAGAAATTTGTGCTGCATTAATCTGTTAGAATTTTTTGAATGTGTCAAAGTAGTGGTTAAAGGAGGAACCGCTTTGACATAATCTAAACTTTCAAAAAGCACATTGACAAGGTCCGTCTTACAAGGTTGCTAAAGAAAGTAGTTATAGGGCAAGGCGCACAGTATTATTTTTGATCTAATACATGGTCAGTTTTCATCATGGCACAAGGTGAACAGCAGCATGCCTCAAGGTTCTGTGCTAAGACTCGTTTTTAATGAGATCTAGAAAAGGGGGTGAGCAGTGAGGTGGCAAAATTTGCACGAGTCACCCAAAATTATTGAGCTCTCGCTCAGCCAGAAGGTATTCGCTGGATGCAGAAATGACTAGATGAATTTATCTGGCCTCTGTTATTTAGGAGTTCAGATTAGATTATCCTAAGAGGTCCCTTCTGGCATTAAAGTCTGTTATTCTGTGGCCCATTTCATGTCCCTAAGCCTGGTTCCCTGGAGTGGGGGGAACCTTTGGACCAGATACTGGTTCCCAAAACCAGGTTCAGCTCTAATCGGTCTCAGAGTGGGAGCTAGTTGACACAGCCCATTACCATGGAAAAGTGTGCATTTCCATTGGTGCTAAAACAGGTGACTCGGGGCTTCCCCAGTGTTGGTTTCCAAAGAACCCTTGGCCTCAGTGCCTGGACCCTCAGAATCCACCTTAGAATGGCATTAAGACACTGGTGCTGACCCTTTTCCCTGGCTGCCAGCACATAAGACCAAGGTACCAAATGGGTGCTGAATGCTCCTGATGGGTATCACTCCAGTCCTGTGTTTCTGCTTCTGTCTGCTGCTCCTCATACCAAGGAAAGTAGGAGTAAGAACAGGAAGGAGGACCCCTGAACAGGACCACCCTAGAAAGAAACAGGAAAAGAGGCATTCTCACATTTCCTTAATTCAGAGGGTTGCACCTCAGATTTGAAGACACTAATGCTAGGGGCCAACCTGACTGGGAATGCTTAGGGACCAGAGGTGTGCACAAAGGGGGGACAAGCAGGGGCACGCCCCCCCTCATAATCTGTGTCCCTGCAACCTGGGGAAGGAGGAAGCAACAGGGTGGCTGGCTGCCAGCTGAGCTGCTCCTCTCCCCACCCCTACAGCTGCTGCTTCTCCTTCCTTGCTGCTGGAGTCCTACACGTTGCCTCTGCCGCCACTCCCCAACTCACCTCCATGGTCAGTCTGCAAAACAAGCAGCAGCAGTGGGACTCCAGCAGCAGGGAAGGAGATGCAGCAGCTATAGGGTTGGGGAGAGGAGGAGCTCAGCCAGCCGCCCTGTGGCTTCCTCCCTCCCTGGGTTGCAGGGACATGGAGAGTGCTGCTGCCAGGGGGAGCTGCTGCCTCCACACTGCTGGGCGTCCTGAGAAATCTTGGGGGTGGGGTCACGTGAGCCTTTCATTTTTGTGTGTCTAACATGCCCCTCCAAAAGTGGTCAGATTTAAATTCCTGCACATGCCTCTACTAGGGACTCTCCAAAGGGTTTTTTATGTGCAGATTCAGTTATCCTCCCCCTTCAGAGTAGAGGTCTCCCTCCCTAACTCTCTAAACTATGAAAAGGTTCAGAGAAGAGCAACTAAAATGATTATGGATTTGGAATGGGTCCCATATGAGGAGAGATTAAAGAGGCTAGGACTTTTCAGCTTGCAAAAGAGGAGACTAAGGGGGGATATGATAGAGGTATATAAAATCATGAGTGGTGTGGAGAAAGTGAATAAGGAAAAGTTATTTACTTGTTCCCATAATATAAGAACTAGGGGCCACCAAATGAAATTAATGGGCAGCAGGTTTAAAACAAACAAAAGGAAGCTCTTCTTCACACAGCACACAGTCAACCCGTGGAACTCCTTGCCTGAAGAGGTTTTGAAGGCTAGGACTATAACAGGGTTTAAAAGAGAACTAGATAAATTCATGGAGGTTAAGTCCATGAGTGGCTATTAGGCAGGATGGGTAAGGAATGGTGTCCCTAGCTTCTGTTTGTCAGAGGGTGGAGATGGATGGCAGGAGAGAGATCACTTGATCATTACCTGTTAGGTTCACTCCCTCTGGGACACCTGGCATTGGTCGTGGTTGGTAGACAGGATACTGGGCTGGATGGACCTTTGGTCTGACCCAGTATGGCCGTTCTTATGTTCTCTATGGTCTGACTTTCTGGCAGGAGTTTATATTTATAATTAGGACCCTACTAAAGTCATGGTCTATTTTGGTCAATTTCACAGTCAAAGGATTTAAAAATAGTAAGTGTCATGTTTTCAGCTATTTAAATCTGAAATTTCACAGTATAGTAATTTTAGGGGTCTTGACCCAAAAAGAAGTTGCGGGGGGGGGGAGAGTCCTGACGTTCCCCTGGTGTTATCTGGACCGGTGATCTCCTAGGTCACTCCAATCCTCGACTCTCGGAACCAGCCTTACCCTGCTCTGCTGTGAGAATCCCCACTCCCGGGCTGTTCACGCACAGCCTCTGGCATGTAAGCTGCTCTCAGCAACCTGACTGAGCACTTTTGGCCAGCCGCTGCTTGGATTGTGCAACCAAATGACACTAGCCAATATCTCTGGTCCCAGACACAACCCTAGGAACCTCCGTCTTGCAGTGTCCAGTTATGCCCGCTGGACACTGCAAGCTTATATGAGTAAGAAATTGATATGTACCAGGCTTGTTATCCCAAGCGGAGTCTCTGACACACTTCAAACCAAACGCACTGCTTCAGGTAGAATAAACGAACAAATTTATTAACTATGAAAGATAGATTTTAAGTGATTATAAGTCAAAGCATAACGAGTCAGATTTGGTCAAATGAAATAAAAGCAAAACGCATTCTAAGCTGATCTTAACACTTTCCGTGCCCTTACAAACTTAGATACTTCTCACCCCAGGCTGGCTGTTTGCCCTTCAGCCAGGCTTTCCCCTTTGATCAGCGTTTCAGTTGGTGGTGGTGTCTGTAGATGGAGGTGGAAGAGAGAGGAAGAGCATAGCAAACGTCTCTCCCTTTTATCATGTTCTTTCTTCCCCCTTGACTTTGCCCCTCTCCCCCTTCAGAGTCAGGTGAGCATTACCTCATTGTAGTCCCAAACTGACCAAGGGAAGGGGCATGACTCACTCGAGAGTCCAACAGATCCTTTATTATTGCCTAGGCCAGCGTCCTTTGTTCCTATGAGACTGGGCTGGGTTTGTCCCATACATGCCCTGATGAGGTGTGAACTGCCCCTCTGCTCCTGGAGAGTTTTGCCTCGGCTTGTTTTAAGCCATGAGGACACATTTTCAGCCTCATAACTATATACATGAAATTACAGCCTATAACATTACTATAACAACAATGCTCTGTGCATCATGAGCCTTCCGAAGACACCCGACATGACAAACTTTGCATTGGATACCACACAATCATTTTATAAGGATGAACATGGGGGTGCAGAGTGTTCCCCCCCCCCGAGGCACAGAGCGTCACAGGCGGGAGGTCACAAGGTTATTGTAGGGGGGGTTGCAGTACTGCTATCCTTACTTCTGAGCGGCTGCTGGCGGCAGTGCTGCTTTAGAGCTAGCTGTGCAGTTGGAGAGAAGCAGTTGCTGGCCAGGATCCCAATTCGAAGGCAGAGCCACCGCCAGCAACAGCACAGAAGTAAGAATGGCATGGTATGGTATTGCCACCCTTACTTCTGTGCTGTTGCCTGCAGAGCTGGGCCCTCAGTCAGCTGCCAGCGCTCTCCAGCCATCCAGCTCTGAAAGCAGGGCAGAAGTAAGGGTGGCAATACCGCAAACCCTCCGCCCCCCAAATAACCTTGCGACCCATCCACCCCGCAATCCCATTTTGGGTCAGGACCCCCAATTTGAGAAACACTGGTCTCCCCTGTGAAATCCATAAAGTATAGGGTAAAAGCACACAAAAGACCAGATTTGACGGGTGGAGACCAGATTTCACAGTCCGTGACACGTTTTTCATGGCCAAGAATTTGGTAGGACCCTATTTATGCCTGGATTCTATCCATTGACTTTAAAGATATAAGCATGCCAATACACTGGCTTCCCTGATCTGTACACATGGGCATAATTCATTTCTGCTCCTGTACTGTTTAATGAGGGACTGCATATTCTGTGGGTAATGTTTATCCATCTCGAACTGGTATTTTTTATGTGGCTTTAAGATGCTTTTTTTCATCAACAGATGACTCCAATGATATGTGGGAAGATCGGGAGGATGAAGAGGATGAAGATGAAGGTTTAGCTGGACAACTTTTATCAGATATTCTTGCCACAAACAAATATGGTAAGCAGAACAGTTACATTCACTGTTCAAAAGGTCAAATTGCGTAAAGAACATGCAGCTCTGAAAGTTACATTTCTCTTGACAGCTGCTCAGTATATAGTATGGAGGGCAGGGAAATAACCTGGAATGGAAGACACAGGGAAAAGGGAAGAGCAAAAAATACATCCTGGAACAGAGACTGTATGTTCATAGGCTAGAAGATATCAAACAGAGCACCTTTTGAGGCTCAGGGTTTGTCTACACTTAAAATGCTACAGCAGCATAGTTGCGCCACTGCACTGCTTCAGCATAGACACTACTTGTGCTGAGAGAAGGGATTCTCCTGTCAACATAGGTAATCTACCACCCCAAGAGGCTGTAACTAGGTCAACAAAAGCATTCTTCCATCAACGTAGCGCTGTCTACCCGGGGACTTTGGTCAGCTTAACTGCGCCACTCGGGTGTGGATTTTTCACATCCCTGAGCAATGTAGTTTTGCTGACCTAATTTTCTAGTGTAGACCAGGCCTCAGTGAGTCTCAAGTACTAATTCGGCTTCACAACACTGTCATGAGGCAGGTATAAATATGGTTTACAGATGGGGAAACTGAGGCTCAGAGGTGAAGTCACAAAATGAGAGTCTGAGAGCTGAATAGAACCCAAATTTCCCAGTCCTGTATTCTTGTAGGAAGAAGTTGTGTGTGATCCTGAAGTGATAGGTATTTAAAGGGAAAGGGAGCTGTGGGTATATGATCTGGAGGGTTAAGGAGAAAAGGTAAGTGTATAATTTGAAGAGAGAATCTTACTTGGTACAGCTAAGGCAACTTAAATGAATTGTTTCGCTGCACTGGCAGAAGCATAGGAGACTGAAATCTATCATGATGCATTGGCTCTGCCACAGATAAGATGGCAAGACAAATTCATGTAGGTAGCTTTAATGAGAGGGAAACTTATCCAGGTTCTTTTGTAGCCCAAGGAAAACTTTCTTCAACCTTACCATGTCTCAGTGAGAGAGGGACTTGTCTCAATATTCAATGGAAGTGTTTCCTGTGTGACTGTAATGCATGAAATGTAGCTAATAAAGGATGTATTTGTGTCAGGTACTGAGGTGGTAAGCCAAGGGTATCTCAGTTTGGAGCAATTAATTTCATGCCACAGTACAAGATCACTAATGTGTGCACATTTTTGTACATATAAGGAATGACAAACACCTGTGTTGTGCTACTTGGATTCTTGTCTCAGCTGTGAGACAAGGCTCCTGGCCCTCCTTATTCTGCCATTCTTCGCTGCCCTCAGTTCTGTTTTATTTAAAATAAAAGTTGCTAGTTCCTTTTAAATGGAATTTTTATCCAAAATGACACTTCCTTGTTAAAATCTCCTGGAGTTAGCGGCCTAGTGAGATGCATCCTGAAATAATAGCCAGCTTGTCCTTCACTATAAACACCTGTGCTTTTGTGTTGCCAGATGAGGATTACTATGATGATGATGAAGAGGATGATCCAGATGCATTAAAGGACCCCCTTTATCAAATAGATCTACAGGTGATGTATTAGAATGAGTTTTGCAATCTGATTCCTATTACCTATTTATTCTAGTTATTCATTATATTTTACTTTCTTATATAGTATCTGTAACAAAATGCAGAGCCCCCTGAGCACTGAAAGGAGAGTACATTCTGTATTTTTATTCAGTTCACTGGAATTGCTCTGGAAGTGCCAGAGGATGCATATTACTATTATTTGTATTACTATAGCACCTAGGCAGGGACCCAGAACTCCATTGTTCTAGGGGCTGTGCAAACAGAACAAAAAAACAGCCCCTGCCCCAAACACTTTCCAGTATAAGACCAGAGACAACAGATGGATACAGACAGACAGGGGAGCACAAGGAAATAATGATCAGCCTGGTGGGCAGTGGTCTCAGCACATCAACAGCATAACTTAATTTTCTTCTTCGAGTGATTGCTCCTGTGTATTCCAGAGTAGGTGTGCATGCTCGCCACGTGCACTGGTGCCGGAAGTTTTCCCTTTAGCAGTATCCGTAGTGGGGGAGCACTGCTGCGACCCCTGGAGTGGCGCCGATATATCGCACCATAAAGGGGGCTGCGTGCTCCCCCCACCCTCAGTTCCTTCTTTCCGCCAGTGAAGGTAGTCGGAACTTGCTTCAGCCTTGGCTGCAGTGTTATTGCCTTAGTGGTATCCAGTTCACTGATCTTTCTTGCTATTGCCGGGCTCGGGGCATGCCCCGTGGCCCGGGCTTCAAGTCGTGCGACTCTTGTCGCAATTCTATGCCCCGGAGCGATCCTCACTTGGAGTGTCTTCGCTGTCTGGGCGAGGCTGACATTAGTGAGAAGTGTAAAATTTGCCGCTCCTTCAAGCCGCGAACAAAGAAGGAGCGTGAGATCCGACTCTGAGCTCTCCTAATGGAGTCGGCATTGGCCCCGACCCCGGGCACCGTGCCTTCGGCGCTTAGCGAAGCGCCTCCAGTGCGCCGTCCTGATTCCACGCCCAGTACCGCGTCGTCGGTGTGCAGCGAGGCGCCGTCGACGAGCCGGCACCGCTCCCCTTCTAAGAAGCAAGGGAAGACTCAGCGGCGCCGGGAGAAAGAACGGGGTGAGGCCAGACCCGTGTTGGGCAGCCCACGATCCCCATCGGGACCGAGACCTCCGACTCGGGTGGAGCAGAGTAGTCCGGTGCCATCCACGCGGGCCTCTCCAGAGGTGAGGATGCCTTCGATGCCGGAGGCAGCTCAGGCCGCGTGCGACATCCTTACGCTTCTGGTGCCGGGAGTGCAGCCTCAGTCAGGCCCCCGATCCTGTGGAAAGCTGCCTTTAAGTGCCCATCAACCTTCTCCAGACGTCTCCGAGGTTGAGGCACCATCCCGGCTTGAAGGGCCGACCCGTGGACCAAGGCATGTCTCAACGCCGCGAGCAGGGTCGTCTGCGAGCGAGCTTAACTTCTCCACTCCTGGAGACTGTAGAGCAGGTTCCAAAAGACGTTGTCGCTCCTCTTCGAGCTGTGCCCGCAGGGACAGGTATCGTTGTCGTCGGCACCAGCGTTCATACTCCGGCACCCGCCATGGAAGGCGCCAGGCTCGGAGTTCGTCCCGGGAGTCCCAGGCACTGAGTCTTTGGGCGCCGGAGAGAGTACAGGGACAGTACCCCCTACTCCTATCTGTCCTCCTCCAGGGGCCGGAGACGTCATGTTCGGGACCGCCCCAGCCATTCGTACGGCACCGTCCGTTCGTCCTGAACCTCTGCTTCGGCACGCAGCCGTCCCTCGTCAAGCCGCTCGGTGCCGCAGGACCAGCTAGCCCTTCCGGGCCCCCTCGTGTCCCAGGGCCAGGCCGTTCCCTGCAGGGATAGTGGTGCCAGTGGCGGGAGCGTCCCAGGCCCAGCCGACGGCATCACCTCGGCACCGTGATGAGGCAGTGGGCACCGACCCTCCGGCACCGGCTCAGGCCCAGGGTCAGGATGTCGGACTACCGGTACCGACGACACCGCAGCACCGACCTCCTCGGTACCGGATGACTCCGTGGCTGCCCTTCCTCCTGTCTCTCAGGAGAATTTCAAAGCTCACCAGGAGCTGCACAGGAGGGTGGCATCGAACCTCCAGCTCCAGGCTGAGGAGATGGAGGAACCCTCGGACACATTGTTCAATGTCCTTACCTCCTCGGCGCCGGAGCGTGTGGCCCTCCCGTTTCATCAGGGGATGGCCAATATTACCACTGGCCTTTGGCAAACCCTGGACTCTCTCAGCCCTATCTCCAAAAAGGCCGAGCGAAAGTACTTTGTGCCCACAAAGGGGCACGAGTACCTCTACTCTCACCCAGCTCCGAACTCTCTAGTGGTGGAGTCCGTTAACCACCAGGAGAGACACGGCCAACCCGCTCCCACCCCCAAGGACAAAGACGCTCGCAGGCTGGACTCCTTTGGAAGAAAGGTTTATTCATCTGCGAGTTTTCAGCTCAGAGTGGCCAACCACCAGGCACTCTTGAGCAGATATGATTTTAACCTTTGGGGGTCCCTTCCCCTCCCTCCACGAAAAGGACAGGAAGGAGTTCCGGGCCCTGGTGGATGAAGGTGCGGCAGCGGCTAAAGCAGCACTCCAGGTGGTTTCCCATTTGATGGCTGCGGCCGTCTCCATGAGAAGAGCGTCCTGGCTTTCGCTTTCTGGGCTATCGGCTGAGTCCCAGTCGATCATGCAGGACCTGCCATTGGACGGTCGGGCCCTGTTTGCAGACCAAACAGACACGCGTCTGCACGGGATGAAAGACTCCCGTACCACCCTGCAGACGCTAAGCCTGTACGTCCCGCCGGCCAAGGACAAGCTCAGGCCTCACACCTCCGCTCCCCAGGCTCGGTACAGATATGAGCCCCCGTCTAAGAAGCAGCAGGAACAGAGGCGTCGGTCACAATGCCAATCCCGTTCGGCTCCTCATCCAGGGCCCTCTAAGGCCAGGAGGTCAGGGAAGCGGCATTTTTGACTGCTTGCGGGGGTCACCTGGCCTGTTGCCAGGTTAACCCCCCCCAGTTAATAAAGTTCAGGTTTGCCAATCGTTTACCTGCCTTCTGTCTGCAATGGTTCCGTATCACTACGGACCGCTGGGTCCTCAACACGATATCCCTGGGGTACAGGTTGCAGTTTGTTTCGCCCCCTCCCAGTTGCCCTCCAGCCAAGGAATCGGCGGGGGACCCGGAGCATGCGCTCCTTCTAGATCAGGTGGTACAGCGCCTCCTCTCCCTGGGAGCCGTGGAGAGGGTACCTTGGGAATTCTGGGGCAAGGGATTCTATTCCAGGTATTTCCTCATCCCGAAAGCGAAGGGCAGGCTTCAGCCCATCCTCGATCTGCGGAAATTCAACCAGTTCTTGGTTCGCTGCAAATTTTGCATGGTGTCCCTAGCCTCTATTATTCCTTCCCTAGACCCGGGGGATTGGTTTGCAGTGCTGGACCTCCAGGATGCATACTTTCACATCCACATTTTCGAGGGTCACAGGCACTTCCTCCGTTTCCTGGTGGGTCAGGACCACTACCAGTTTACGGTCCTCCCCTTTGGCCTCTCAACGGCCCCCAGGGTCTTCACAAAGTGTATGGCAGTGGTAGCGGCCCACCTCAGGAGGAGAGGGCTGCAGATCTTCCCCTACCTGGACGACTGGCTGCTCAAGGGCAAGTCCCGGTCCCAGGTGCAGCAGCAGATAACCTTCCTGCTACGCATCTGCTCAACTCTAGGCCTAGTGGTAAACGAGGAAAAATCCACGTTAGTACCCGTCCATCGCATAGAATTCATAGGAGCGCTGCTAGATTCCCAGGCGGCCACGGCCTCCCTCCCAAGGGACAGGTTCGAGGCACTCAAAGACCTCATCGCCTCGGTCACGGCCTTCCCGGTGACCACGGCACGGGTGTGCCTTCAAATCCTCGGCCACATGGCTGCATGCACCTCGGTGGTACAACATGCCAGGCTCAGGATGAGACCCCTTCAGCTCTGGCTGGCCTCCCAGTACTCGCAGGCCAGGGATGACCTAGACAAGGTCGACACGGTGCCGCCAACGGTGGTGGCAGGCCTGCAATGGTGGTCTCTCCCGAGCAATATGCTCCAGGGGGTTCCCTTCTGCGATCCCCCTCCCGCACTAGATCTAGTGTCGGATGCCTCGGACCTGGGCTGGGGGGCCCACATGGGGGGCTTCAGGACCCAGGGGTTGTAGTTGTCCGAGGAACTCGCCCTACACATAAATGTCAGGGAACTCAGGGCAGTGCGCCTGGCGTGCGTGGCTTTCCGCCAGCGTTTACAAGGGAAGATGGTCAGAGTCCTCACGAACAATACCACTGCAATGTATTATATCAACAGGCAAGGAGGCACGCGCTCCACGGCCTTATGTCAGGAAGCCCAGCTCCTGTGGGAGATCTGTATAGCTCATGATACCTTCCTCCGAGCGTTCCACCTGCCCGGCGAGAGCAACACACTCGCGGATCGCCTGAGCAGGGTGTTCTCACAACAACACAAGTGGTCCCTACACAGGGATGTAGCGGAGTGGATCTTCCTACAGTGGGGTACTCCCCAGGTGGACCTGTTCGCCACCGCCCAGAATTGCCTGTGTCCCAAGTTCTGCTCGAGGGTGAAGGGGCCATGACAGACGCGTTCCTGCTCAATTGGTCGGGGCCCCAATGTACGCCTTCCCGCCCTTCCCCCTCATAGGCAGGGTCCTACAGAAGCTGAAATCAGACGGGGCAAGGATTATCCTGATAGCCCCGGATTGGGCCCGTCAACATTGGTATGGGACCTTACTGCAACTCTTGGCGGCGCCCCCTCGCAGGCTGCCGCTCCGCCCGGACCTCCTCTCCCAGGATGGAGGTTGTCTCCTCCACCCCAACCTGACCCCGCTCCACCTGACATCGTGGATTCTCCGTGTCTAGATGCGGAGGAGGGGGGAGGTGTACTGAGGCTGTTAGACGGGTTCTGCTTGAGAGCAGGAAGCCGTCCACACGGAGGTCCTACCTGGCTAAGTGGTATCGGTTCTCCATATGGGCGAGGGAGAGAGGTTCC